CCTCCCTCTCCCTTCCTCCCCCCTCTTCTCCTTCCTCCCCCTCCTCCCCTCCTCTCCCTTCCTCCCCTCCCTCTCCCCTTCCTCCCCTCTCTCCCCTTCCTCCCCTCCCTTCCTCACCCTCTTCTCTCCCCTTCCCTCCCCTTCCTCCCCCTCTTCTCCCTTCCTCCCCTCCCCTTCTCCCTCTTTCTCCCTTCCTCCCCTCTTCCTTCCTCCCCCTCTCCCCTTCCTCCCCTCCTCTCCCCTTCCTCCCCCTCTTCTCCCCCTTCCTCCCCTCTTCTCCCCTCCCCTCCCTTCCTCACCCTCTTCTCCCCTTCCCCTCCTTCCTCCCCTCTTCTCCCCTTCGTCCCCTCCCCTCCCCTTCCTCCTCCTCTTCTCCCCTTCCTCCCCCTCTTCTCCCCCTTCGTCCCCTCCCCTCCCCTTCCTCCTCCTCTTCTCCCCTTCCTCCCCCTCTTCCCTTCCTCCTCCTCTTCTCCCCTTCCTCCTCCTCTTCTCCCCTTCCTCCCCTCTTCTCCCCTTCCTCCTCTCCTCTCGACCTACTGCAGTAATAAAAATTAATTAATAAATCAATGAGAAACTCCGATGATTGAAAGAGTTTGTGTTGACTCAGTGGATTGTTACTCAGCCGTGTTACTCGTGTTACTCACCGCGTGTTACTCATCCTGTGTTACTTATTTTGTGTTACTCACCTTCTTACTCAATTTGTTACTCATCTTGTGTTACTCATCGTGTTACTCATCTTGTTACTCACCCCTGAGGTCCCTTCTCGACAACGACAGCACGAGCGAACATTAGCGTCTGGCGTTATCTTGCACTTATGAGAACAACGAACTCGAGTATCAATCAGACCACAATTGTTCGCCCGTCATCTGCCTACACTGGCGAACGTAAGGCAGTGGTCGTGGCTTCGCTTGTGCTGGCGATGGGATTCTTATTGTGTTTATTAGTGTGGCCGCCGTCTCGTATATCTAGCGCTGTGATTGGTCTGTTTTATTATGACGTCATCCTTCCTTTGTTCTGATTGGGTAAATATAATTCGTCATATATCCCCGCAAGAATATCTGAGCCGTGATTGGTTAAAACTATAATATCTCTGAACATTCTGTCAGCTGATTGGTGCAAGAGTTTGATTGCTGGGAGTTTTCTGGCAGGTGATTGGCTGGTCTTGATATCAGGAAGTCATTGTGCTCGTTAATTGGTGAGTTTTGATGCCACGGAGGCCAGGTGTATGATAATTAATTAGCGTCGTTGGCCAGAGGTATGATAATGAAACTTTATGCCAGACTTACGATAATTAGAGACTTCTTGCCAGACGTACGATAAGACACTTTGCCGGATGTACGATAATTAGAGCCTTTTGCCAGACTTTTATGCCAGACGTACGATAATTAAGAGACTTCGCTGCCGGGTGTTTGTGATGTATGTGGGTGATACTGTGTGTTTGTGATGGTGGTATGGTGATGTTTGTTTGTATGTATGTATGTATGTGGTGGAGCTGTGGTGTTGTGTTCGAAACTTTCTTCTTCTTGCTTTCACTTCGTTCGGACTTTTTGAACTCAATTCATATACGTGTTCGAACCTTCTCTGGGGTTTTTTTTAGTCCTCTTTTGGCTTTTATCGTCTCTCTCTCTCTCTCTCTCTCTCTCTCTCTCTCTCTCTCCTCCTCTCTCTCTCCTCTCTCGAAACAAGTCAATTAACTGTGTGGTCGTTCTCACCGCTTCTTAAGTCCGCCGCCATTGGTGAGAGGGATTGCCAACAGAGAGAGGGGATTAACACTCGCCCCCTCTCACTCTCCCACTCCCAGCCAGTCCCCCTCTCTTGCGTGGGATGGGGAATGGTGACGTACCAATCACCTGAGGAGCAGCCCAGGGAGGAGAGGGTGAAGGGAGAGGTTGAGGGGGTGGGAAGGGAGATGAGAAAGGAGGTAATGGAGGAGGAGGGAAGTGACGTGAGATGCTGACCTAGTGAAGAGAGAGAGAACATAAGAAAATAAGGTCTGCAATAGGCCGGTTGGCCTGTGCATGGCAGCTCCTGTCAGGAGTTACTACCACTCTCTATCATCCATAAATCTATCTAGCCTCTTTTGAAACTTTCCAGAGTTCAGCACTTACTACAAAGTTGCTAAGCGTTCACTCGTCCACCACCCTATTTGTGAACCAGTTCCTTCCTATCTCCCTCCTAAACCTAAACTTATCCAACTTGAATCCGTTGCTCAGAGTCCTATCCTGCTCCGGATATTATAAGAACTTTATCTATATCCCTTTATTGATTCCTTTCACCCACTTAAATACTTCTATCATATATCCATCTTCGTCTTTCTAGGAATGCAAGTTAAGTTTCTTTAACCTATCCTGATATGGAAGGTTTCTAAGTCCCGGAATCATTTTCGTCATTCTTCGCTGCACCGACTCTAGTGAAATGATATCCATTCTATAATAAGGGCACCAGAACTGAACCGCATAATCGAGGTGCGGCCTGACTAGCGCAAGATATAGTTGCAATAAGACCTCTGCACTCTTGTTACTTACACTTCTATATATAAAACCCAATACTCTGTTTGCTTTATTACGAACATTAACGCACTGTTTTCTAGGCCGTAGGTCCGGGCTTACAAATACCCCTAGGTCTCTTTCACAAGTCGACTTCTCTAGGTTGATGTTGTTAAGGCTGTACACATTATAAGTATTTGTTCTTCCAGAGAGAGAGAGTCAGCGGCAGGTTAGGTTAGGTTGTTATTTGTGTGAACTTTTGAAGGTTAGTTTTACAGGCTACCACACCACTATCTACTAGTACCACCATCACCACACCACCACCACCCTACCACCACCACCACCACATCCCCCCCACCACCACATCCCCACACCACATAACCCCCCACCACCACAACCCCCCACCACCACATACCCCCCACCCCCCCCACCCCACACCCCCACCACCACCCCACCCCCACCACCCCACACCCCACCACACCACACCCCACCACCACACCCCCACCACACACACCACCCACCACCCCCACCCCACCCACCACACACCCCACCACCACCACCACCCACCACACCCCCCCACCACACCACCACCACCTACCAATTACTTATCTATGTCTACAATAGTTATTAATACATATCTGAGTGTACTTTCAAGTCCAGGGTATATATTAATTACACTAATGAGAAAAAGACACTGCATGCCATGTTAGGTCCAGGTCAGGTCAGGTCAGGTTATGTGGTTGGTGTTGGATATTGAACTGTAGGGGAGAATGAAGGTGAGGAGGTCGTGGTGGGCAGGCAGGGAGGGCGTGGCGAGGAGGGAGGAGGGCGTGGCAGGCAGGCAGGAGGAGGAGGGCGTGGTGAGGGGAGGGAGGGAGGGCGTGGCGAGGCAGGGAGGGCGTGGCGAGACGAGGGAGGTGACGCAGTGCAGTTGTAACCTGTGTTGGTGCTGGAGGGAGAGACCAGGTGTGTGTGTGTGGCCACGCCCTCTTCCTCCTCCTCCTCCTCTTGTATACTTTGATAGTGATATACGGTTCCTCCCTCCTTCTGTTCCCCTTTCCTTCCTTCCGTCCTTCTCTCCCTCCTTCACTCTCTTCCTCCTTACGTCCCCCTTTCCGTCCGTCCCTCTCACCTTACCTGCCTCCTTCCGTCCCTCTCTCCCTTCCTGCCTCCTTCCGTCCCTCTCTCTCTTTCCATCTCTTACAAATTCCTCCATTCCTACTTCTTACCTCCTCTCCTCACGGCTCTCTACTCTCTCCCCTCACCCCCTCCCGTCACCTCCCTCTTACACCCCCTCCTACATCACCCCTCCCCCTGAGAAAGATGCCACAACACAGCCTCCAGTATGACACAACCCCACGTTGATGGGGGTCATAACGTGGTAGCTCGCCCCAGACAGGTTTAATGACACAGTTGCGAATATATTAAAATAGATAAGTAAATAAATAAATAAACCCCGGGTATATAAACTAAGTCCGTGCTGAATGGTGCAGAAAAAATAAATGTAAATTTTATTATATGTTGTGGTGATAAAATTACAAAGGACTAAAGAATAATTATTTTTTATTTTTTATTTTTTCTTCTAGATGTCGTGACGAGTTGTGAAAGCTTGGGAAAGTAACCACCGGTATTGTGAAAGTGTGTCTGGGGGTGTGTGTGTGTGTTGTGTGTGTGTGTGTGTGTGTGTGTGTGTGTGTGTGTGTGTGTGTGTTGCCAAAAGTTATAGATGGTGAATTTTGATCAGTCGGTGGTGGAGTTAGCAGCGAGTGTGAAGTGTGTCAGTGGTGAAGTTACTAGCAAGTGTTGGTAGTGGTGGTAATAGGTAACACTTGTTCACAACGATACATGTGTTCAGGGTTAAAAATAGTATCGTTCTCTCTCTCACTCACTCCATCAGGTTGTAAGCTGTGTTGAGGGTCACTACACACTACACTATAAACTACACACTACACTATAAACTACACACTACACTATAAACTACACACTACACTATAAACTACACACTACACTATAAACTACACTACACACTATTTTTATACTGTATTTATTTAAATTTTTATTATCGTTTTTACTTTTTTAATTGATTTATTTACGTTAGTGGTTGTTGGGTTGTTTATTTGTCTTTGTTTACCTTTAGGGGCTTGTGTTTATGTTGAGGAACTTGTGAGAACTTGCACCAAACTTCATGTTGAGGAACTTGTTTTCATGTTGAGGAACTTGTTTTCATGTTGAGGAACTTTTCATGTTGAGGAACTTGTTTTCATGTTGAGGAACTTGTTTTCATGTTGAGGAACTTGTTTTCATGTTGAGGAACTTGTTTTCATGTTGAGGAACTTGTTTTCTTCATCCACAAAGTTGTTGACCTGTGTTGACCCTAGGGTAACATCTGGTCAACATATTTCAGTATTTTACTTGAAAAAAAAACTTTATGTAACATTATCTGAATATTGTCTCCGTAACGGGTGGTGTTAGGTTACAACTATACCTGGTAACGGTGTGTGTTATTTGTTACAGCTTTTAATAGGTGATACTCTGGTGTAAGCCAGAGCCCCGGTGTGACGGTGGTCTGGTAACAGTGACAGTAATTATTCCGTCCCTCGCTTGGCATAACCGGAAAAAAATCAGTACCGAGTGTTGGTTCAAGTGAGCTCAATGTGGTGTGAAGTGAACCATTAAGAAAAAGGGACACAGTTGTTCTTGATTGACGTTTTATCGCTTTGAAGAAAATACAGTGAACTCTTGGAAGAAAATAGATGAAAAACCTGGAAGAGAAAACGTGAGTGGTCAGATACAAGTCCGTAGCAGAGGACAAAAGTGCATTATATCGACAAGTCCCTCATCATTCACTCAATAAGAACAACTTAATTTACGTGTTCACCACCTTCAAGGCTTCCAATCTACAAATATACGCTTAAAAAACCTCCCAAGAATTGTTTGAGCTAATATCAAAAGGTGAACACACACACGCCGCCACCTGCTATTGTGATCAGCTGTTCGTGTTTGTTATTGTTGTGGAGGTGAGGCTGTGTGGCGTCGTCTGTAACCATGGCAACGGCGGTGGTGAACGGGGAGGATGTGACGGAGATGGGCCGTGTCTCTTCCTTTAAGGTAAACAAACCATCTTTTATATCTGAATTCCATAACGATTTGTTATTTAAAATTTAGGGATTTTAAATTTAATAAAAAAATGAGAAGGATTAAGAATATAAAAATCATCTAATTAAATCCTCAAAAATTAATTAAAATAAATTTAAGACTATTTATCAACCAAAAAAATTCACATTATTTTGTAAAAGTCAAAATAAATATTATAATCTACCTGAACAAAGATATATTAGTTATTGGAATTAAAAGATTAATACTAAAAATAAATAAAGTGTTTTGAAAAACTTATTCTGATAATTATTGTAAAAATAAAGAAATCTTTCAGTTGTTGTTTTGACTTGAGATAACTGATAAATTTGATATTTCAAAAGTTTAGCTTCAGTTACAGATTAGATAAAGAGTTTGAGGATTATTATTTTTAATGACATTCTAAGGAGGTGTTTATATCTTAAAATAATCAAAATAATCATAGCAAGAGCTGATAATTGATAATTTTTAATATATTGATAATTGATAGTATACTGTATATGATAATTGAGTAGAATATTTTATTACTTAATATAAGAGATAATCTTTAGTTACTTCACCTTATATATATATATATATATATATATATATATATATATATATATATATATATATATATATATATATATATATATATATATATATATATATATATTGTAGTTATTTAAAAAATTAAATTCTGAAAATTAGTTGGGAATTACAGGTATTATATTAATAACCTAGCTTATATTTTTGTGTAGGTTAGGTTAGGTTTGGTTAGGTGATTATAATTGAGTTTTAGATAATAAGGTGTTGCTTATGTGGTAGTGAAGAATATTGCCATGACTTATTATTTGCCATGAGTATTACTTGCTATGAGTATTTATACATAACCAAAAATTAAGGTCACTATTATTTTGGATTCACAATAGTTCGGGTCTGTAAGTCATCCCTGAACCCCAAATCTCGAACCCTGAATCCCGAATCCCGAACTGAAACCTAAATCCGAACCCCGAACCCAAAACCCCAAATCCTGGAACAAACCCGAACCCGAACCCCAAATACCGCATCCCGAACCCCAAACCTAAAACCCCAAATCCTGAATCCCAAACCCAAACCCCCGAACCCAAGTCCCGTATCCCGAACCCCAAACCCCCGAACCCTGAACCGGGATATAAGACTTGCTTTTTTCGGTACAGTGTTGACAATAAAAGAGTTGGGGCACTTTTAAATGGGGTTAAATCCTATACAGTAACTTGTTTTGTTTTTATGGAGGGGGTGTAAGGGAGTTTGAATACTTCTAAAAGGATCTTAGTGTTTGCCTTCTCGTGACTCTGTCGAGGTAATAAAAAACTGTGGGTTACGACTTGGTTTATTTGGCATTAAAACTAAAACGGGGTAAAAGGTGGGTTTAAAGTACCTGTACAAGTGTGTAAAATATCAAATAATAATATATGTTTCAAATCTCTATATAAGGATTTCTGTTCTATATCAGGGTTTCAATTCTCTATATAAGGGTTTCCATTCTCTATAAGGGTTTCCATTCTCTATATCAGGGTTTCCATTCTCTATATCAGGGTATCCATTCTCTATATAAGGGTTTCAATTCTCTATATAAGGGTTTCAATTCTCTATATAAAGGATTCAAATCTCTTAGCATTACGTCTCGGCAGCACTCCCACCTTCCCTCCCCAGTCTCCCCCCCCACCTCCTTACCCTCTCCCACCCTAATCCTCTCCCACCACCTCCCACCCCTTACCTCCCACCCCAATGTTGCTGAGGTAAAATGCATCGATTCTCAAAAGGTCACTTCATTTTATCATACGTATTACAACTTCACGAGCAGATTTCATAGTATTAACGATGCCTTTGAATATAACATTGATTAACTAGACTGTGAGTAGAGATTATTGAAGGTAAAAGCTCTTTGGGTAAATTGGAATTGAGACTTGAGAAATCTTAAGTCATTTTTTTTTCTTCTTGTAAGTGTATGAGTCCTTGTATAATTTTGACGCCATCTTGGATTATAATATATCTGATTAAATGAATTCAAGATATGTTTCTTTGATATTCTAGTTAAAGGGAAAATAATACTCTAGTTAAGTTGAAAATAATACTCTAGTTAAGGGGAAAATAATACTCTAGTTAAGGGAAAAATAATACTCTAGTTAAGGTGAAAATAATACTCTAGTTAAGGGGAAAATAATACTCTAGTTAAGGTGAAAATAATACTCTAGTTAAAGGGAAAATAATACTCTAGTTAAAGGGAAAATAATACTCTAGTTAAGGGGAAAATAATACTCTAGTTAAAGGGAAAATAATACTCTAGTTAAAGGGAAAATAATACTCTAGTTAAGGGGAAAATAATACTCTAGTTAAAGGGAAAATAATACTCTAGTTAAGGTGAAAATAATACTCTAGTTAAAGGGAAAATAATACTCTAGTTAAGGGGAAAATAATACTCTAGTTAAGGTGAAAATAATACTCTAGTTAAAGGGAAAATAATACTCTAGTTAAGGTGAAAATAATACTCTAGTTTAGGGGAAAATATTGATCTGATTCAGGGTGTGTCAGGGCACTAAGCCAACACCACTAACCCCGAGGACGTGTAGGGATGTGTAGAGATGGACGACTGCCAGCACCCATTCTTCTGCTTGAGGAGAGGATGGTGGTGGGGAGGGATTGGTGATGGAGGATGGTGGTGATGGGAGGGAATGGTGGTGATGGAGGGATGGTGGTGATGGGAGGGATGGTGGTGAGGAGGGATGGTGAGGGAGGGATGGTGGTGATGGAGAAATGGTGGGAGGGAGGGATGGTGGTGATGGGAGGGATGGTGGTGATGGGAGGGAGGGGTGATGGGAGGAAATGGTGGTAGTGATGGTGGGGTATGTGTGGAAAATGGTGGTAGGGGAGGTGGAAAGTGGTGGTGATGGTGATAGGGGTGTGTGATGGTGATAGGGGTGTGTGATGGTGATAGGGTGTGTGATGGTGATAGGGGTGTGTGACGGTAATAGGGTGTGTGATGGTGATAGGGGTGAGTGATGGTGATAGCGGTGTGTGATGGTGATAGGGGTGTGTGACGGTGATAGGGGTGTGTGATGGTGATAAGGTGGTGATAGTGGTAAGGAGGAATTTTTACTGGGATATGTATGTAAATTCCCAACTCTCTATGTAGTGAAGTGTTGCTTATCAGAGAGAGAGAGAGAAAACCGAAATTTGTAAAGAAAAAGACAACAAGCTAAAAGAATGAAAAAAAGAGTAAGAAAATGAAAAAGAGAGACAAATAGACAAAGAAAGAGAGAAAAAGAGAGAGAGAGAGAGAGAGAGTAATTACACATTCTCGTTCGGTCAATATCTTTAAAACCACCAGCAAACTCGTCCACCCTGGAAGCCTTATAAAAACCTCAGTATTTTAGCTCAAGTCAAAGGGTCTTGTCTATTGAAGGGCCTTTTGTTTTGGAGTCTATTAAGAATTTATTTTGGGGATTTATATTGAGTTTTGGAGGATTTCGGATTTATATTTGGGTTTTTGAAGGATTAGGGATTTATATTAAGGGATTTTTGAAGGATTAGGGATTTATATTTAGGGATTTTTGGAGGATTAGGGATTTATATTGAGTTTTGGAGGATTAGGGATTTATATTGAGTTTTGGAGGATTAGGGATTTATATTAAGGATTTTTGAAGGATTAGGGATTTATATTGAGATTTGTATTGAGGATTTTGAAGGATTGTGGATTTATATTGAAGGATTAGAGATTTATATTGAGGATTTATTGAGGCTTCTGAAGGGTTAGGGGATTTATATTGAGGGATTGGTACACGGAGGTCTGTATGTGAAAGGGATTAAATGCCATAAAGAAGTCCATTATAAAGGTTGTGACTCGGGTAGCGATATTTTGTGATCCTTTGTTGCGATAATAAACGAATTATTTTGGATTTGGAATTATTTTGGATTTTAGGAATTATTTTGAATTTTGGGAATTTGGGAATTAGTTTGGAATTTTTGTAGTTTCGATTTTTGGGTATTTTGGGGGGAATTTTGGAATTATTTTGTAATTTGGGAATTAATTTGGAGTTATTTTGTAAGGGGTAGGTTTATAAGCGCGATTGTTTATGATATATAGGAGAAATTATGTGAGAGGTGATTTGAATTTGTTGGAAAAGTAAGAATTTTTGGGGGTAATTTTTGGAATAAACTTTTAAGGAATTGTGTGAATAATTTATTGAAAAAGTCGTGATTTTATGACAATTTTCTTAACAATATGTTGAAAAAGTCAGCATTTTAAGGTAATAATTTTGTGAACTATTGGATAAATTTTATTTTTGGGGCAATTTTGTGAATAATTTGACCTATAAAGATATGTTTGGTTAGGTTAGGTTCCGTGACGACGACGATATTGTAGGATTTTGTTAATATTTTGTTTTGAGAGAGATGCAGGCTGGGAGAGGAGAGGAGAGGCGACAGGCGGCCCTGAGTGGGATATTGGCCTGTCAGGGAAGAGGAAGGTCAACAGTCCCTCCACCACAGGTCAACTCTGAACTCCAATACCGAACCCCCGAATCCGGAACTCTGAATCCCGAACCGTGAATCCCGAACCCCGAACTCGGAAACCCTAACTCAAAACCCCGAGCTTTAAACCTGTGCCCAAACCCCGAACCTTGAATCTGAACCCCTAGCTCGAAACCCCAAATCCCGAACCCTAACCAAAACTCCGAATCTCGAACCCAATACCAAGCCCTAGAACCCGAATTCGACCGAACCTCAAATCCAGTACCGAACCCCCGAAACCCGAACCTCAAATCCAGTACCGAACTGAAACCCGAAACCCGAACCCCATAGTGAAGATAACGAACCCATTAACATTAAAAATTATACAAAAAAATCCCCCCAAACTAAACAAATTTAGTGTTTTAAAAATCACTATAGATAAATAAACACCAAAAATAACCTAAATTAGGGTGTATATTTTTGTCGTGTTTTTGTAAGTTAGACCA